AGAGGAGCTGAAATGTAAATTTTGTGCCCACAAAAAAATCGCCACTGCTGAGGGTGAGGGGACTTTTTCTAAACCACGCCCACATGGCCGCTGACTGAGCAGATGACATCGTCACTTTGACCTATACGTCGTGCGCCACTGCTGGCAACGATGACAGATGCCTAGGCCTGTACAGCTGTCCCTCCGCTATTTTTTGCATTGTTATCGATCTGCTGCTTCCATTTATTCTCTAGAGTCGATCGATAACTGTAATCAATAATTCTGGTTGCCAAATATATGCCCTGTGATTCCATTCAAAATTCCATTGGGCATCCTATGATGCTATTCAGCGCAGCAGTATAAGTGCAATAAGCTTCAATGGAATGCATTTTGGTTTTAAGTTCTCATTCAGCTCTTCGATTCGTGGGCCAAATTGTTATTGGACATTTTGGAACTAGGGGAAGTCTTGTGTCCCACATTGAGCCCCACTCTTCGCAGTAGCCATAAGGTCAGTGTTACTGCGAAGAACTTGCTAAGTTCACGAGTGTTTTTCTTCGGATCTTGATGAGCGGGTCAACCCATCCGTAATAGATCAGCTATACATCCGTCTCGGTGTTGAAATTTACTCATTAAGTAGGTCTATGAAAAAGCAAGTGTTGGAAGTTGAGTACTGAACTTTGGACTATTATTTAATGATGTTTTACTGGGCTTTGTGAGATAACAGGCTTCCTAGCCTGAAAGGGCTGCGCCATGCAACCACGTTCATCTAGACTCGCAGAGGCATTTTAGTGTGTCGTGCGCCCTCCTGGGAACCATAGGCTCCAGACACTGTTATGTGATATGAATAAACACTCACAGTTAGCACAAGAATGCTGAGTTGTGGGCAAAAGTCGTGCCCCAGGCGGGAGTCGAACCCGCACCTCACGCTTTCCGGGCGAGTGCGCTATCCGTTACGGCATAAAAGCCGTTAAGCTGAGAGGGTAAAAGCGGCCCTGGTGGCGTAACGGATAGCGCACTCGCCCGGAAAGCGTGAGGTGCGGGTTCGACTCCGCCTGGGGCACGACTTTTGCCCACAACTCAGCATTCTTGTGATAACATTCGGAACGCGTACTGCGGCGTTAAACAGCAGTTATCATAACAAAACTGCAAATAGAGTTCTTTGGAAATATTGAATTTTTTTCTCAGCTAAACGTCACAAGTGATCATCAGGAGAGGGGAAATTATGGGGCGGGTTCCTGGAGTTTGTTACTCTTCTCGGCGGTTGCGTGTTCGTGAAAATCGTTGCTTTTCTCCCAACAAATTCCCAGTTGAAGGATTTGCGCAGCCCAGGCGCAGCCGGGCCGGTAACTGGCCAACTGCAAAGTGAAGGTTTTGCCCAGTACTTAACGCGGTCGTGTTTACTCACTCGGTCTTCCTATGATTTTTCGTTGAAATCGCACATTCCAGGTTTTCTTGGTCGGATTTTCCTCTATCCGAAAGGGATGGAAATTGATCCGATCGATTTCTTTAACTTTCTCATTCTGGCTGAGGCATTCACTCCGATGATTTCGCACATTATCTTCACTGCTTGCATCTTCTTCATCAGGTTTTTGAGCTTCATATGCGAATGCCTTACACAATACAGCTCTTACATTAGTCCTATTCCATTTGAGCACCATTTTGGACCTGAAATTTGAGCTGTGAGCCGTTCCCTCCAACAGCGCTCGGTTCCTGGCTTCATCAGCTCCAGGGGAAGGAAGCCCATTTTTTCACTGCTGTTTTCGGCATATTGCACACACTGCTGCCCGATTCTGCCTTCGAGGATGGTTGTGTCACTCATCGCTTCGGAGACTGAGTCTTTCCAACACGGGCGAGAGGCGTATTTGGTAGAAGGGGAGGAGCCAAAGGTATACGTCTGCGGGAATTTTTTTCCAGTTGGTTTACTTTCACAATTTTGGGAGCATTACACCCCCGCTTGAGGGCAAAATTCTGGGAACACTTGCTAAGATTCTGAGAGGGGAGGGGGTCAATAAAGGTGGAACGAGCCCACCCGCGGCCTTTGCACCACTGGTAGCTTTCTCGATCACTACCCGACTGATAGAGCAAGGCAGCCCGAGGCAACTTCACTCCACCCCTCCTGA